CTAGATGTTCGGCGGCCACCTTCGCAGGGTTCAGGGTTAAGGTCTCTAATGTAGGGGCCTTAATAAGCAGAATAGGCTTTTGGGGCCCACCATATCATAAGTATAATCAGGAGCCCGCAACATAGAATTGGTAATTATTTAGGCCCCTACATTGGGGTTTAGGGTGCTGTTGTGTTTATGGACTTCGCGCAGTGTGTCGTGGGGTTACAATCCCTTGGAACCATCCCTCGGCTCAGAAGAAAGGGGTGTGAACACTCACGATTCGTGTCCGTTTCTAGGTCTTTATATTGTTTGTAGATGTATGTATATATATATATATATACATACATACATACATACATCCATACATACATGCATCCATCCATACATACATACATACATACATACATACATACATACATGCACACATACATATTTGTTTATATATATATATATATATCTACATACCTATTTGTTTATATATATATATATAGACATACACATAGATATACATACATACATATATATATATATATATGTATGTTTGATAATTGTAGTATCCTCTTCTAGTCCCAGTTTAGTAGCATAGTATGACAAATCCCTAAACCCTTCTTCTACATAGTTACTCAGCAATGTTCTTAGAGCCCCCTATAGTATAACCCTAAACCCTAAACCCTGGCCCTAAACCCTAAACCCTATAGTGTGTGGAAGAGTCTTTGGCAGAGCCTTCCTGTTTCGGCAGGATGTGCTGAGCCTCAACAGCTACATCTCCAAGTTCCAGGCCCTGTTGGTGTGCAGATCGCCTCAGGGATCCCAGGAGACTTCCGCTTTTACAGTGATTGAGCTTTGCCGATGTGCGATTGAGAGACTTTCGACGGTTGAGGAGTTCAGGTTAGGGCTCAGGGCTTAGAGTCCAAACTTCTTCAATCACTTTTATCTGAACCCTTCAGCCTACACCTTTGCGGCCCCTGTCATTGTCAGATTTGCGTTCTCCTCCTCCTCGCTGCTGGCAACGCGGTGTACCGCGCCGACATGTGGAATGTGACCTGGCTGCCCCAAAAACCCTAAACCCTCAACCTTAAACCCTAAACCCTAAACCCTTCAAAAACAAACCCTAAACCCCTAAACCCCTAAACCCTAAAACCTAAACCCTTAACGCTGAGATCTTAAACTACTGAAGGCTCAAACCTCAAACCCCCGAAGCCTAAAATCCTTCCACAGAAGACTCGAGCCCAAAACCCGAGATCCCTAAACCCTAAAAACCCTAGCTCACACGGAACTGAAGGTTTCAAAAACGACACTTTGGTGAAGACATGTTGGGCTGAAGCTGTTGAGGTGATCGTTGTTTTCCGGTTCTGGGCTGCAGAGTTTTGGGGATTCAGGCTTTGGGGTTCAGATCCTTAGGTGCTTGAGACACGCCCGACGTCCTTGCATGATTCGAAAGCTATGGAACACGAACATGCCTGAATCGCAAATCTGGAGTCTTTGCGTTCACTTGTCAGCTGCATGCAAGGCTCGTATCTGGATTCTGCTAGCAGGACGTGCAATCGCGGCTGTTTGCCGTGTTCTACTGGTTAACTGTTTCAGAGGGTTCTTGATACCGATGATGATACAACGCTGCACTACGTCCCAGTGTCTTGATATATGGTTTTGATCATGTGCCCCCTAGCCTATACACGTGTTGGAGGACTTGAGCACTCTAAGCCCAAACTCAAGCCGTAAGCCCAAGACCCTACTGCACCATCTAAACTCTAAACACCGATGCTTATCAGCTCCAAAATTCAAATGTCGACTTGCCAGCGCACCTCCCAGGGCTTCAAAAGGAAGTACTTGCTGTTGCAGACGCAGGAGTCGAAGACCTGCTGGGTTTGGCTGCCTAGACTCTATAGAGATAAGGGCTTGCGAAGGTTTCGCATGTAGGAATCAGATGTATGCGAAGGTTGATTCGTAAAGTAGCTAGCTGCAGCTGGGAGTCACGCTCATGGCCGTGTACCACGTATACCTGCAAGTCTAAAGCGGTGTAGATGCGCAGGTTTCCAGGTAACATGAGTAAGTGACCAGGTAGGGGTTTAAACTGTAGACAATGAGGCAATTAGGGATGCTTCCTTGGGTGTTTTGAACATTCCCCTGAAGATTGAAGCATGCTTTTTTGGAAACGCTTCATGCCTGACAGCCGGGTATGAAGCTCTAGCCGCGAGTGAGCAGGTTTTTTTGCCTTTCGGACCACGGAGACATGGAGAAGAGATCGATGTCTTGGGGATTTCTGTAAGGCGAATGTCGAACGCTATCGGCTTCAGGATTCAGCTTCGGTATAAACTGTGGTCATAAACAGGATCCAGAGTTTGGCGGTTGAAGTTGTCGAGTCAAAGGACGTGCGTCTGCACAGCTAAGACGGGCAGATACCAAACAGTACATCAAGCAAGTGAAGCTTACCTAGAGTCTCCAATTAAGTAGGATCCTATACGGAAACCCCAAAAAGGAGCTATAGTGGGGACTGTTGTAGGTAATGTCGTGAAGGCAGGTTGGGACGAGGAGGCGAATAAGAACTCCAACTCCTTAAGGTGCTGCTAAGTTGATGCTCTGTGTCTCCCGATGCCCCGAAACCTCTCTCCGAAGCCTGGAACCCCCAACGTGAGGTTCTCAATCATCGTTAGTGGTATCCCTTTCTAGCCCTTATCTGTTGCATTAAAGGTTTAGGGTTTAGGTTGATTTTGTTGTGCTAAAGGCTTACCCCAGACCGTGAACCACGAAGCCCAAAGCCCTGCAGTCAGCTCCTTGAGCCTTATACCTCTGACCCCTCAGACGCAAATCGGCCAAAGTCCTTGTCCCATCTTTGGGAGGACCTGCACTACCAAGCTCCATCGACGGTGAGGCGTGGACTTGGAGTCACTTTCCTTCTCGGAAAAATATCATGTTTCAGGGACGGGAAGATCCATAGTTAGGGCATGCTTTCGGATTGGTTGATAAAGAGCCGCAAATACGTGCCATCAATTTTACACAAGCCTCCTTCGATTTGTTCAGGCAACTGCAGAGGAAGACCTTGCTGCAGTGACCCGGCTATGAAGGGTTAGGCTATGGGTTTCGGGTTTACGGTTGTCGGTGTCATGTTTAGAGTTCTTAAAAGCCCTGAAGACCCTAAAACCCGAAGTTTACGTTGCTGTCTTGGGCCTTGAGGTGGTGAATTCACGGTTTCTGGGTATTGGTCAGCGAGCCCTTGCTAAAGCTTTCTCAAAGATACTCAGGACCCAGGGTACCTGGGTAGACGGGGCAGTAAAAAGAGGGCCCATAAGCTTTCAGAAGCCCACATCATCAGCGTCTGCAAGGAGTTTTAATGCGATGAGGCTACCCCGACCAGTTTCCAGGCAAGCTCCTCACCGAGTCCACCTGGGAAAGGACGCATCAAGCCGAAAGAAAGGGGAATGGAGCAGCTCAAGATTCTGAGTGTGCAAACTTTCCTCAAGGTTGAGGGTGTACTTAAAGGATCATGGGACTTAGTAAGTAGGGTTATAATCAGGGTCACTATGCTTATAATCCCAATTAAGGGACTTATAACTTTACTTACTAAGTCCCATGATCCTTTAAGTAGGAGATCATGCTCCCGACAAAGTTGCACGAGTGGGTCTGAACCTCCTGAATCCGCAACACCGAAGAGCTCTGCCTCCTCCAGCTGCGCGACGGGGCAACACACGGCGTTCCGTGTCTTTCGCTGCGGGTCACGACATGGTTAAATTGAAACTATACCTATCGTATATCTGTAGACATATGTATAATATATATATATATGTATGTATATATATATATAACTACACATTAATTATACGTATACATACATATTATACATACAGATACATGCTATATATATATATATTTATAATCTTGAGGCCCGTGCTTCTGCAGGATGCAAAGGCCAATTTCAAGTTGCCTTCAGAGCTTCCAGCACACACAAAGCCAGTCCAAACTTTTAAAGAGGCCCCAAAAGGGTTCAGGGTTTAGGTTTTCGGGAGCCCAAAGGGCTACTAGGTGTCAAAATCATGGTTTCTTGGTAAAACAAACCCTGATGCTTAACAGGGCACCCTATCATTTGGGAACCCAAAGAGACGCGAATGTAGACAGCCTCTCATAGAGAAGAGATCGTTACTTAAGGGATCATGGGACTTAGTAAGTAGGGTTATACTTAGGGTAACTATACTTATAACCCCAATTAAGGGACTTATAACCTTACTTACTAAGTCCCATGATACTCCAAGTAGGGGATTTTATAAGTGATCCCTAGCCTCCGGGACAGATTCTGCCTGGGCCTGGGTGTAGGGCTTTCAGTTTCAGGCTCGTGGTTTCGAGCTTTGGGGCTTCTCAGTGCTCAATAGGGTTCAGGGGTTAGGGTTGAAACCTTCTTTCCTAAATCTTCAATGTTGAATAGGGTGGAGAGTTGAAGCCTTTTTTCTCCTAAATCCTGAGCCCGAAACGGACACCCTCAACCCGGTAAGCCTGACACCTCCGCCTAGGTTTTTGGAGAGGACGTCGACGGACGACTATGGGAACATGCTGCTGGACGCAGGGGGTCGAACGAAGGGTTCTAGCATCTTGATATCTGGGTCGTGTTAATGAGAGTAGTAGGCTTTGGGGTTTTTTTAATGCTGCAAACAAGGAGCTGCGAGGGTATGTTGGTAGCAGAAAGATGCAGAAAGTCAGAATGACTCTCCTGGAGGAACCTCTTGATGTTGGAGGGGTGTCTTCCGAGATATACGGTAGAGGGGTGTAGGTCTAGACCCCGAGCCACGCCGAACAAGAAGGGTCAGGAAGAGTTCGAGTTCGTGCTTGGCAGAGAGTCTCGTTGGACACCGCCCTGAAACGTAGGGTTTTCGCGTTAAGAGTTTAAAATGCTCCTATTTTTGCGAATCCACCGAAAGCGTCAAGAGCCGAAAGGCCCGCAACCTCAAGCCTTCAACCCCGAGCTTTGCCACGCGAGGCTTCTGGAGACGTCCATAGGCCACGGGACAAACATCCGGGAGCTTGCCCGTGACATGAGCGTCAGTGCCCGGGAGCTCGGTCCGACGATGTGAGGTTTCAGAAGGGTTTAAGACACTTCGCAGTTCAGACTTGGGCTCAGGATCGTCTAGATCCTGGACCCTGAACCCAAGTTCGGGGCTGTAGGATTGAACCTTTCGGTTTTCGATCCTGCAGCTTTCGAGCCTTGGAACGTGTCCTAGGGGTTCCGAGGTTGAGGAGTTGTTCTTACTTGCTGGGGTGGAGGCTGTTGTGTTCTTCCAGTTTGCGAGTGTGTCGGGTGCAGGGGTGTGGAGCACGTCTGAGAAACCTCCGATAGCTATCTCCACGGTTCATCCTAGTCTACACCTCAATGCCGCTAGCCAGCCACCCTATATCCAAAGCCCCAGACCAAACAACGCAACCTTCCAAAGAACAGCCCCTTCACCGAGCCAACACCCCAAACCCCGACATGGGTAATTCTCGAAGTTAGGGTCCCTTTTAGGGTCCTCCTTTTTTGAAGCGTGCCGTACTATTTTGGGGACCCAAAAAGGGACTCTAATTTAGAGAACTTCCCATGTTGAACCTGATTAGAAATTCCAACGGATTCGCTTTGGAGTCCCCATAAGAGCACCCTCCTTGAACTTTGTTATATCCTGTATAATATAGGGGCCTCAAACTACCTATATTATTTGTATTTTAGTATTTTATTTTTTTTGGGGGGGTGTGGTCCTTAGTGTAGTTTTACTATACAGGACCCCAAAACCCTATTCTAATGATTAAGGCCCCTACATTAAAGCGCCTGAATAATTAGAATAGGGCTTTGGGTATATTATACTATATGCTTATAATAAGGAACCCCCCAAAACCCTCTTCTAGTTATTAAGGCCCCTCTTTCTAGATCTCGTAGAACCTTCAAAAGCAACCCTTCGTCTTGCGGAGCTTTTTTCTAAACCCTAAACCTTAAACCCTCAGCCCTAAACCCTAAACCTTAAACCCTAAACCCTAAGTCCTAAACCCTAAACCCTAAACCTTAAGCCCTAAACCCTAAACCCAAAGCCCTAAACCTTCTCCAAGCCTCGCAGGTCTGGGATCCCTCGCCGTCATCGACCGCGGCCTGGAAACTGGCTTTCTCCCTCGTGACGAAATCGCTGAGGCCAGAGGATGACATCAGGGTTTAGGGTTTAGGGTTTAGGGCCGAAATCGCTGAGGCCAGAGGATGACAGCTGGGTGTTAGGGTTTTCACCCGGAGGGTTTCTTAGACAAAAAGCTTTGCTTGAAGCAGGGGCTGATCTAAGTTTGGTTTAGAGAGTCATAAAGAAAGGGATTTGTATACGGCGTAATCGGGATTATATGAAGAAGGGCTTATCTCCTTAGGAATCTTGGTGAGTGGATAGTTGGGTTTATACCGTCATTTTCGAACAGTGCAACTAGCAAACAGGCAGTCGTGTGTATCGTGATTTTGTTGTAAGTTGTAGAGATTTCGTTTGTTCGTTCTCGTTGATTTCATGACTGAAGTCTACTGCGTATACGATAGCACTATTGCTGTGAAGAGCCCCATGACTTAAGTCTATTGCAACACCACTATTGCTGCCCGGCTTTGGTGTCTTGACCGCAATGACCGTAACCCTGAAAGAGCCCATAACGCAAGATCCTTAGAGCCTGAAGCCCAAAGCCGTTGCAGGCGGCAGAAGCTGATGCGGAAGCAGAAGATGGACACCAAACAGGAGGCCAGAAGTCGAATAAAGGGTTTAGGGTTTAGCGCTCCTGGTTTGGGCTTGTGGATTAGGGATTTGAAAGACTTGAGACAGCTTGCATTGTAGGGTAATCCCGGTTAAAGTACCACCGCCTCAGGATTATAAGAGGGATCCGAAGATGAAGACCCCTCAAGAAGTTGATTTCATGACTACCTAGGGCCTGGTGTTGAAACCCTAAACCCTAAACCCTAAACCCTGAGGTGGTGTTATCGGCTGGAGCCCAGGGATCGTCTCTGGGTCGTACAGGCTTCTAGGTTTGTGCTGTTGTCGCTCATCCACACCACTACCTATAGTCTCCATTGTAGTTCTTTTTTGGGGATGCCTTATAAAATCCTTCATATATAATTGGTTAAACCAAAAAAGGAGCTACAATGGAGACTAGAGGTAAGACGGTTTAGGGTTCCCCATAGGCCCCATAGTGGTTCCTTTTTGTGGCTTATATTTAGGGTTCTATTAGGGAATCCCAACAAGGAACTACTATGGGGCTGGGGGTTCCTTATTATAATGGCAGTAGAATATACCCCACAACCCTCGACCATCCAGGGTTGCCCCTTATATAGGGATCCGCTTATTGAATGGTAAACGGGGGTCCCCAAATATTTGATGGACCTAGCCGCGGGAAACGACCGTGAAGAGTGAGAGTCCTAGAAGCTTTACTTGTGTGACACACAGTCTCTCAGTCTTGGTTTATAATGTACCCTAAACCCTAAACCCTAAACCCTAAACCCTAAACCGTAAGATGCAATGCGATTCAGATGCTACCTCAACGATTTGGACTCCTGTTCGAGCCCCGTCCATATTTGTGATAGTCATCGTCATCCCACCTTTGCTTCATGCTTCTGCCTTTCCTCCCACCCCTGCCGCATCGATGTCGACTTACACAGAAGCTGGTCAGTCTTGCCTTCCCTTACAGATTCAAGCAATGTGTTCATATTGTATGGTATTTGCTCCAGAAATATCAATTACTTGAATCTCAAGGCCGCACCAATCCAAAGAACCGCCACATCTGAATGCCTGGTTTTGGGGCAGATTTTGCACCGGCCTGGGATGCGGGATCTCCAGGCCCCCGTGACTTCTGAGGTCCCAACTCATCCTTCATAGCACCTTCTGACTTGATGGATCTACCCTGGTAGCCCTGGGCCAAAACCGCAAACCCAAGAACCAACGCCCTAAACCGAAGACCCTGAAGCCAAAACCCTAAAGGTTCATCAGTTCATTGAGCGGATCGTGCACCAGCCCTTTGGCCTCATCGAGAACTCCGGAGACGATCTCTGCGTCGTTTGGGGTGTTCGTGGGTTTTGAGATCTCCGTCTTCGCATCGACTACTTAGAAACATAAGGTATCTCAATATGCAGACTGAGCTCAACAATACGAGTTGATGAAGGTATGGCTGTAAGGACAGGGACGGTAACGCTAAATGGCTGGCAAGTTTCATTTTTGGGATACATATGTGTATATATATATATATATACACACCTGCCTGCCTACCTACCTACCTACCTACCTACCTACCTACCTACCTACCTACCTACGTACATACTTATCTACCTAGCTATCTATCTATCTGTCTATCTATACAATGGCGGAGTTTGCTCACAGCAGTGATTGAGACTTTCCCTTCAGTATCAGCTTGCTTCAATCTACGACTCATCAGCAGACGTGTGCACCCTGCCCTGCCCTGCCCTGCCCTGCCCTGGAGACAGCGCCCCCTAAACCCCAAACCGCAAACCCATCCTAAACCCTAAACCCCAAACCCGTTTGTTGAGCGCCGGAGCCTCCAGCCGAGGACAGAAAATCGATCCTCCTGAAGCCTAGAGCTTGGTGCCCCTAAACCCTAAACCCGAAAGCCCTAAAACCCTAAACCCTAGGCATCCCTAGGCACCAAGCCCGAAGCTCAGCAAGGAACCTCCCGCCACAAAAGAAACGACAGCGCATGCATCCCCTTGAGGCTTCCAGGAGGCCAAATCAAGCTTCCCCACGCATGTAGAACGAAACGACCAAACTGCCTTCATGTCCATTCCGTTTTTAGGTGTAAAGCTGCACAGGCATACATGTTCAGACATGCTCATATGACATTCATGCATACATACATGCGAGTATACACGCATCCCTGTTCGATTGCACTCTTCTCCCCTAGCGAAAAGATGCATGCAAACTGCATACATACACATAATTACACCTTAACCCTAAACCCTGAACCCAAAAGCCCTAAGCCCTGAACCCTAAACCCTGAACCCTGAACCCTGAACCCTGAACCCTGAGCCCTGAACCCTGAACCCTGAACCCTGAACCCTAATCCCTAAACCCTAAGCATGCATTCCGTAACCTAAAACCCCCCCTCCGAGGATGGTCGACCGCGCTGTTGACACAGCAGCTGGTCACGGGGCACGGATGAAGCTCGCAGGCCCGGACGCCCTAAACCCTAAACCCTAAACCCTAAACCCTAAACCCTGAAGCTCGCAGGCCCGGGGCTCCCCAAGCGTTTCCGGCCCTAAGCAGACGGCGGGGGACCTGGGTTCGGGGTATGGGTGTTCGGGTTCAGGGTTTAGGGTTTAGGGTTTAGGGTTCAGGGCCTGAGGTGTAACCAGTAACCAGTTTAAGGTCAACTAGGGGTTCAGAGTGTCGAGTTTGGGATTTCGGGTTCGGGTTCCAGGGCCTTTAGCTGTTTCTTTGACATCCCCGGATGCGCAGGTCTACGTCGGCATGTATGTTGGTGAAGACCCAAACGCTCCATGTACCTTTATAGTAGCTACTTAGGCCTTAAAAGGGTCCCTATATAGGTACTTTAAGGCCTAAGTATCTCCTATATGGGTACATGGAGCCTTAGGGAGAATCAGTGTCCACAGCAAAGTGGCATAAGGTCGATCGCAGGTTGTTGTGACGGCAAGGAAAGTTGGGGGATTCACTGAGAAGACCGGGAAGGTTTAGGTTTTAGGGTTTAGGGTTTAGGGTTTAGGGTTTAGGGTTTAGGGTTATGGACTTGAGATTTGTGTGTCGAGCCTGTAGGTCGAGACCAAAACAATCAACGGAGAGATGCTAGGCATCGAAAATCCTGCGTCCCACAGCTCCAAACACAAAGCTCGATCAAGACACTCCCTGAAACCATTGCACCTGTGTTTGAATAGCCTTTAAAAAGACAGATCTTATGGCACCCAACCCTAGACGCTTTGCGAGCCTTGTAGAATTAGTTGCTGAAGCAGGACATCTCCCAATCCCGCCAGGCTCTCTCGCGACGGTGACTTCCAAACGAAGAGCCGTCAGACGACTGAGGTGATCTCTGCTGCACTACTTTCGGTTGTTATAATTGTAGGCATAGGGTTTCGGTGTTTTCCGGGTTGAACAGTCTGACGGTTCGTCTGTCTACGCCATGGAAAACCGTCATGCGCTCATTGCCACGCACGTAACAGCCCTCCGACACTCGGTCACTGCTTGTTCATCACTGAGACTTCTACGACTGCCTCACGCCATGTCAAAGCCAACCATGCTGTTCCGGGACCGTCAACTGAAATCTTGAAACCCTATAAACCCTGAATCCTAAGCCCTATAAAGCCTTGCACCCCTGAACTGCCTTCAACGCCAGAAAACATGAATGAAGCCCTCACAATCCCAAGAGTTCAGCTCCTGACAAGTTCCAGAAAGCATGGACCACAAGACATACGCTCCGAGTAAAGCAGGAAGGCAAGGCCGTCACCAAACGTTGAAAGCTGTAGGCACAGGTGCGTCTTCCGATGGGTTGTTCTTTCTTACTTGGAGGTTCATGGGTAGTTATAAGTTGGGGGTTATAAGTCCCCTAATATGGTTTTTATTTATAGTTTCCCTACTTATAACCCTACATATAACTACCCATGAACCTCCAAGTACTGCGACGTGTTGCTGTCTGCCTCAGGTCAGGGTCTCCGCATATCTCCCGAACAGTACGCAGCCCCGAGCCTGGCACCGGTAGTGTTTTTTTGTCCCCCAAGAGATCGACAGATGCTTGGCTTAGGGTTTAGGGTTTAGGGTTCCCAGGTACCTACTATATAGGGTACTAAAGCCGCTAGGGCCCTATCTAGTAGGTACCTGGGGGGTTAGGGTTCTGCATGTGGATGCGATGTGCCGAGAGAGAGCTTCAGGCAACATGCTCTCACCCGGCGCACCCTTCGGGCACAGCGCCTTGGAAGCGATTACCAGTAGCTCTCGAGAGATCGCAGTGCTAGCTTAGAGGCATCCTAATGTACGGGTCTGCGTAAGTAATAACACTAATAATGTCAATACTGGCAGCCTCAACATGAACATACAGAACATACGCTTGTTCTTCAGAGTATTTGTTTTTAGTCCTTACATTGTTCTACGTACCTTTTCAAACTGTGCCCATCGAAATCCTGTCCGAAGTGTGAAGACATGTTTTTCGGCGTCCTGGCGCCGGGCCGGAGATTGTGGCAGAGCCGGAGCCAAGCTGCAGGGCTTCGTGATTCGGGGTTTTGAAGAACTGTTGCTACAGTCTCCATTGTGGTTCCTTGTTGGGGTTACCTTACAGGATCCTGACCATAAAATTGGTAAAGCCAACAAAAAGAACTGCAATGGAGACTATATGTGTGACCCTTGTCTGCTTAACTTCAGCGTGGAATGTGAAAAGGGGCGACTGGGTCTGACGTAACAAAATGGATGTTGTTGGCGCAGGCCGCAGAATGAGTGAATGTTAAATGCAATCAGAGTTGGATTTGGGCTCATTTAGACGGCTTTGCATGGGCCTGGGGGTCACGGAGCTCATAAGCCTCCATTTCCTGCCTGTCAAGTTGGACTCCCTATGACAATGCACATCCATATTCGAGTAAGACATGCAAGCATGGTATCCAAGCCAAGGAGTTCTTGACCTCCAAACCCTAAACCCTAATCAAGCAGAAACCAACGTACTACCCTGCATCTAACCGCCCCAACCCTGAACCCATAACCCTTGCAATCAACAAGCTTCCTCTCCACTTACATACAGGCTATACATGCTACACACATTGTAGATTCTACACATACTACTCTGTACATACATGCATGTACGGATGCATACATGAACCATCAACTTGTCTGTCTGTTGCTTAGTAGGGAATGGGGGAATGGATCCCTATGATAGTCCCTTATTAAGGTCCCTTATAGTAGTCCCTATAACCCATTCCCCCATTCCCTACTAAGCACCAGACAGACTTGTAAGTGGCTAAACCCCTAATCCTAAACCCCAAGCCCTCAAAGGAACCCCCAATCCTAAAGCCCCTACATCGAAACCCTAAAGCCTAATCCTAAAGCCCTAAGTTTAAGGGCTTTCACATGTGTGTGGTTGTCAAAATTATGGTCCCTTTTGGGGTCCTTATTATAATACGGCACCTATTACTTAGGGTACCCCAAAAGGGACCATAATTTTGACAACTACCCAGATAGTGGATCCTTTAAGTACCCTAAACCCTAAACCCTAAACCCTAAACCCTAAACCCTAAACCCTAAACCCTACTTACTAAGTCCCATGATCCTTTAAGTAAGGGCTTTCACATGTGTGAACCTAGGCGCCGGGCCGGGCAGCTCAGTGCCACGGCCGCGCATCTCTCCACGGCCAGCGGAACTCTCCGATCCGTGCAGGCGAAACAGCGGGGTTCAGCAGGTTCAAGCCCTTACTTAAAGGATCATGGGACTTAGTAAGTAGGGTTAATATTAAGGTAACTATACTTATAACCCCAATTAAGGGACTTACAACCTTACTTACTAACCTTTCTGTCTGGTGCTTAGTAGGGAATGGGGGAATGGGTTATAGGGACTACTATAAGGGACCTTAAGGGACTATCATAGGGATCCATTCCCCCATTCCCTACTAAGCACCAGACAGTTTATGATTTCTCTTCCTAAATAATGTTATGTTACGCTGCCTTTAGTGGTTGGAAACCCTTTCGAAACCAGTTCCGGCGGCCTGGACAACTTGCTCGCGCGCGCGCCCTTTCGTGGGGATAGGGGGAGATAAGCGATGTAGAAAGCTGTGGGGTTGGTGCGTCTTTGTCCATCTGTGGGTGAAGGGAGATTTGGGTGTAGAGCGGTAGTACAGTACAGTTAGATATAATATAGTATTAGTACAAGCTTGTTACTTCGATGGACATAGATGCCAATGCTCCTACAACAAGAGGCTCTTTCGACTTTGACCCCCTCTGAACCCAAGGCCCAAAACCAAACCCATAGCCCTCAACCCTCTTGCAGGCAAAATTCCCTAAACTCCATGTGCGGAGTACAGCCTCGGCTAGTTGCGTCTTAACCCAAACTCTCCGCTAAACCCATTTAAATCCCGAAGCCCCTCCTGAACCCCACACCTTAGACCCTAAACCCTGAACTCACCATAAACAGGACCTCAAGCGCGATATCGGCCCCATGCGGCCTTTGTTAGGTTCGGGCTGCTCGGCTTGAGTTCGGGAAGCGTCGATGCCCTTGCCCCAAAAAAGGGGTCGGAATACCTAGTCATGCTATCTCCTCATAGTCCCGAGTATGCGTAGACGATAATGGACCCAAAGCCCTATTCTACTTATTGCGGCTATTACCCTGGGCATTAAGAACCCTCAACACCCGCCGAAAAAGCCCCCAAAACCTTAATCCAGACCCCAATTCTCCTTCGATGCACCAGCCCTAAACACTCACTACAAGCCCCAGATGCTTGAACATCTAAAGCCCTAGAACCACTGAAACCCTAAACCCTAAACCCTAAACCCGAATTTTTAAACCCTGAGCCCTAAACCCTAACCCTGGAGGGACTTGCAACCTCTGGGAGGCGCCTTAATGTAGGGGCCAGGGACAATAGGGGTGTTGAGTCGACGGTTCAGGGTTTAGGGGAGTTGAGGGTGGAGGAACACGTGCTGACACATGTGAGCCGCCTACCATTCCTGCAAGCTCCGGGTAGTCACCGCGCAAAGACTGCAAAACCCTTGTCGAATCCCTGTACAGCCGTTAAACCAAACAGCCAGAGTCCGCTTGCAATGCTAAAGCCCCATCAGAGCCTCCTAAACCCGACGAACGCTGCAAAAGCCCCCCTAACCCTAGAACCCCTGTATAGAATACCCAGGCCCTTGCAAAGAATCCTGCCGTGCGGTCGTTCCGTTTTGGAGTTCCGTGCTTTGGATACCCAGCTGCGTGGCTGAAAAACATTGGCAAACAGAAACTGGGGCTCAAAGGCTTCAGCCGTTTGAGCGCGTTAAGGGCAAGTAGAATCACCACATCAGAATCCCTTTCTTAAACCCAGAAACCCTAAGTAGGCTTAGGGGCTCAGGGTTTAGGGTTTAGGGGCTGAGGGTTTAGGGGCTAAAAGTTTAGGGTTTAGGGTTCAGGGGCTGAGGGTTCAGGGGCTAAAAACCCTAAACCCTAAACCCTAAACCCTTAACGGTTTATAGGGAGTCGCCCCAGGTACCGTGCCAGCACTCCCGGCCCCGCCGGGCGCGTCCTCAAGCATGAGGCTTCTGGGCTCTGGAGTACCATACTTTAATGCCTTTTTTTGGGGGGGGACCTGTTCCTTAAAG